AAAAAAAAAAAGAACCAAGATACTCATGTAATGGTACAAGGTCCCAATGATGTATGTAAATGTATTTTATACCTAAAATGTACCAATAAACTTAATGGGGGGGGGGAATTTCCCCAATAGTGCAGAATTACAACCTACTGTTCACCCAACTTTGACCAAATGATAACATCTTAGATAACCACAGTGCATTATTAAACCCAGGAAGTTGACATTTATAAAATATTAACAAAATGAGATATATTCATTTCAGTTTGTATATGCACTTATTTTGACTGTGTAGTATCATGATATTTTATCATATATATATGTGAATTATTATCAAATAGATAGCATTTGAAGCCACGGTGTTAATTGAGATAATCCCACCCCCACCCCAGGGAATTTAGAGTGAGAGAAAAAAGGCTGAGATCAGAACCCTGGTAAATATGATTAAGGAATGGATCAAGAAAAGAGCAATGAATGAAAAACAAGAAAAAATGATCAGAGAGGTGGTAGGAAATTTTGACATAACTGAGGAAACAAAATATATCTTACTGATCAGTCATATTTAGTTTAAATATCTGTGGCCTCAAAATTCTTCCACTGCTGCTACATGAATTCACTCAACAACTATTTATAAAAACCTACTCAAGCTGGGCTCTTCCAGAGATACAAAGATAGAAAAGATTTGATTGCTGTTGCCTAAAAAGTTTTCAGTTCAATAATGGTGATATATTTTTACATGATATTTCAGCTTAGACTGTGAGAATTAAAAGGTGCTAGTTAAGAGAAAAGCATACCAGGAAGAGGAAACGTCTTGGGTGTCTCAGTTACTTTTCTTGTTGCTGACACAAAATACCTGATGCTCACAGTGAAAGGAGGAAAGGTTTGTTTCAGCTCACAGTTTGTAGAGGTTTCAGTCCACAGTCAGCTGGCTCCAAAGCAGGGTGGCATGGCAGAGGGGCATCATAGAGGAGAAACGGCTCATGATATGGCAGGCAGAAAGCAGCAAGCAGCAGCAGCGTAGGTGACAGCAACAAGCTTCCCTTCCCTTTCTCTTTTTATTTATATTCCATCAGGGCCATAAGCCTATTGATTGGTGCCACCCACATCTAGGGTGGGGCTTCCATTATCCACACCCAAAACTATGATAAACCTATTTAGTTATCACATACTCTAAATCCAGCCACCTCTGAAAAGCCCCACCTGTGAATTCATGAGGCTTTGGGCAGACATCTACACAAGGCATAATATTGGGTAAAGGTACAATAGGAAAGAGACTGATTTTTCTATGTCTGAAAAGAAACAATGGTAAATAAAGCATGGATCAGCTGGAGATAAGGTTGGAGAGGTGGGTAAGGTCTAGACTTTTCTAGGGCCCTGAAGAGTATAGTAAGGTCTATGGATTTTATTTTCTGTGCCATGGGAAACCACCAACAGGTTTTAATCACTTAAAGGCTTACAGTATGCAAAGGGTAATTCTGGTTGCATTGTGGAAAATGTGCTAGAGGGGGAAGCCTGGGTAAGAGATGAAGATGACAGTGACTTGATTAAGGCATTAGCAACATAAAGAAAAATAAATGATGTTCAGACATATACAGTTGGAACTAGAGTCTCTCTTCATATTCCTCACTGCTGGGCCTACTAAGATGCATACTTTGGTCTCATTCTTGAGCTAATCTTCATGGAAATAAGAAATTCAATTCTTTTTTACTCCAAATGATGGGATAATGGGGAAAGTGGTAACTCAGTATTGATCTACTGTACTTCCTGCAACCTAAGCCTGACCTAGGAATCCCAGTGCTCACAACTGGAGAATGTGCGTTAATTCCTTGATGCCTAACTCCTCTCTTGTGCTCTGGATCTCATATTATGTGAAAACTGCATTCAAGCACCTCGGCCAAACTTCTTTCCTTTCTTATCCACAGACCTGTTTCTGTTTTAGTCCCTATTATGAATACTGATCCTTGAAAATTGTGACAGTATCAGAACCATAATTTGTTACTACCAGAGCTTGTCTTGTTCAAAACATACTTGCTAAGTGAAGGAAAAACTTAACCCTGTGGAGAAGAGAAGAATCTCCATTTCACAGAGGAAAATTGAAGCTTATACTAACTTTGGCCAAAAAGAGATCAGTAGCAAGTTGTACAGTCAGGATGCAGGCACAAGTCTCTGACTCTGGATTCCATTAAAACTCAAAGATACCATATTTATAAACAGAAGCCAAATAAAAGAGTTAACTGTGGAAGTCTCAGGTCTATAAAATAAATGTGTAAATACATCTATAACAAATAAACGTGTATTTCCTCACTCATGAGATGCCTTGAGGGATAAGTTGTGTTAATTATCATTTATTATTTTCAAACTTTGTTTCTGTTTATATTTAGTCCAGATAGATATATAGAGCACCCTTTGGCATTCATTTTAATCCAATTTTTAGAAACAATATATCATCTTAAATAGCCAGTCATTTTAACAACTGAGATTATAGTTTTTAAAAGGTATTGATATATGTACACTCTGAAAATTTAGGAGAAACATTCAGAGGTTAAAAATACAAGACCAGTGTTTTATAGTTTGGTTAAATAAGTTAAAATGTAAATGTGATTTCAAAGTTTTAAATTTTTAAACTATTGTCCTCGTGATCTAAATAATGTAATTAAGCTGACTTCTACTGACATTATAATAAATAGAATGGGAACATTAGCACTGTCTTGCCTCACATATATAAAGGAACATAAATGAATTATAAGTCAATCGATTCCAAGCTTTGAAGATAATTTCCTAGGGTATGTTTCATCATAATTCAATTTTTAAAGCATATATGTAATGTTTAATAGTTATATAAAGGCTCTAAATTTTATACTCACTCTTTCTTGATACTTTTGGTTCTTTTCCCTAAGCTTCTTAATTTGAAACATGAATCTCTCCACTGTGTTTTCCTTTATTTGACGGCTGAGAATAAAGAAAGATAAGATGTGTTACAATTATTCATCTTAAGAAAAATTAATGAGATGGAATTTAAAAGATAAATGTTAGAATTCAAGGACATTATTAAATAATATATTACAAAAGCCCATTTAGGGATAAGAACCTTTCTTAAATGATTTGTGTTTGGGGGGCAGGGAGGATGGGAATTGAACCCAGCAACTTTGCACTGAGCTACATCCCCAGGCCATTTTCAATTTTTTAATTTAAGACAGAGTCTCCACAAATTGCCCAGATTGGACTTGAACTTGCTGTTCTCCTGCCTGGGCTTCCCAGAGTGCTGGGATTACAGGTATGTACCACCACACCTGGCAGTCTTAGATTTTTGAACCTATTTAATTCATTCAATATATTGGAGAGATAGATTTTTTGGAAACAATTCTTGTTCATATCTTATAAATGTAATTTCTATAATTCCTAATTATTTATAATTAATTCAGCTTAAAGAAAATGTAGGAAAAGGCATGCAAAAAAAATGCTTCCTAGAGTCTAAAAAACATTCAGACAAACATGACAAACAAAACAAAAGCTTTATAAAGGCAAGCATATTTTAGAATACCAAGTTAATCTAGGAATGCCTGTTGGTTCAAGTTCGTCAATGTATGGTCTTTCCTATAAATAATAAAAGCTTCTTCCCTGGCACAAATATATTTCTTTACCATTCAACAAGAATTTGTTGAGCATATCTAAGGTATGAAAAGACAGAAAAAAGCAGGAAGGTTTTGGTACAGGATATTTCATAGTGATTGCAAGTGTTAATAAATCACTATATTGCTGTTATCTAGTAAATCTTATAACTTTAAATTTGAGACCAAAATAAGGTAAGCAAAATACTTTTATTCCTTGCATCAATCAAAAATAAAGTAGGGCCAGGGATTTAGCTCAGTGGTTCCACTGCCTGCCTCGAAAGTGCAAGGTCCTGAGTTCGATCCCCGGTACCAATAAAATAAA